GTTACACATGAAGATAATCACTGTCGCTTCTAGGTTTATTGGTCTGTTGGGGGTCTTATAGGTCTATTGGGGGGTAAGGCTTATATATGACATATTTCGAAAATCCATTATTTACGTCACGTTAGTGTTTATAGAATTGTACCAGGTATTTTATTCATCGTATAAACTTACTTGCTACGTCCGCCGAGGTGGCAAAACTCTTTGAAACACTGGAATCGCTCTTTAACAGCATACTAGTTCTTTCATTGCAATGATTAAGCAAACTATCATTAGCATTATCGCAGCGAAGTTCGAAGGGTGACGTGACACTGTCCACACAGTGTGGTAAGTAGGAGCGCTCTTATATACATGAGTGTGTCTTATCGGGAAAAACATTGTTACGTTTTATATATGGATAAAAACCATAGCTCGGACGTGGATTAATGAATCAAATTGGAGCTACAAAATACATGACAAAAGTACACGGGCATTAGTACAACGAGGCATGAGACACTCCGACGGTGTATGAAGGAAGCTGATTGTTCCTACGTATACCCAAAATCTTAAACAGAGAAAAAGCCTTAGAGCTTTTAGATGTTTACAAATCTAGCTAACTTCCTATATTGAAAGAAATAGTGCCGTTGTTCGCTTCCGTGCTAGTTGGGTGGTGGGATCATGAACATCTATCGAACACGTAGATCATGTACTAGTGGCTATTCGCGCATTGCGAAAGCTCTGTCACGTAATTTTTGGTCAAGTCTTTTTCCTAGAATCTGATTATTTGAGTAGATGTCATACACGAGGATGTCTGGTGCAGGGTAGTACAACGTAGCACGAGGGTGTAGGTACAGGGCATCCAGGACGATCGTGTCCTGGCTCGTCTCACGGTTAACCTAACCTGATTCAGAAGGTCGATCGCGGGTGGGATGCGCGCTCCAGTTCCACGTTTTTCCACTCCGCAAAACGTTTTCATAGAATCTCTTCGATACACGCAACCCAGGATTGATTCAATAACATCTTGATCTCAACGATCGGTGACGAATAAGAATGGAATTGAATATACACTGCTTTGTCGTTTTTGAAGCCTAAACTCGAAATAAAATCTATTTCATGGCGGAACACAATGTACGTACAAAGAAACGAAAGTGATTGTGAACGGTAACTACGGTAAGTTAGCAGCCAGCAATGGAAACGAGCACGTACAGTCAGATAGCGAAAATTTACGTAAGTTTACAGGGTAGCGTAAAAATCTACTGACAGTTTTCATTTTACATACAACGGAGATAAAACTAAGGAAGGTGAGATGAAGCTCTCAAACTCTCAATAAACACTTGCTCTAGTCTGTATATTCGAACACTGTTGTGATATCATTAAACGTGAGATTTAGCCTCTATCAAATTCGACGTCCAAGCTTTACGTTGATACGGATGCGTCTACGTTTCTTGTCTATAACAAAGCTTCAAATAATGTTTTTTTTTCAATGCAGACAAGCCAATCTACCACCCACGTTAACTTGATATAGGCCATTTTAGTTTTTTTATACACTTTCTGTGATCAAACAGTGATAATATCATAAATAATGCATCGATAGAGACATGTGCTTGTAAACATAATCGTTAGATATGTTAAAGCAAGCCAGCAGCTTCGAACCTGCAAGCAGATACTACGCTGGAACCCGTAGAGAGACACTTCCTTGCTCCTACATAGTTATCACACGATGTAAGGCGACGCAAGCTAAATGTATTTGTTTACCTATGCATCAGGCGCATAAAATGGGACGTCTGCATACGAGGCCGTATTCCAGCGTCGGTCGTACACGAATTATGTTATGGAGAGAATGCGATGGAGTCGATACAGGACGACGGGGCCATATAAAATAGTTATATAAAGTTTTTACATAAATGATCAGACCGTCAAAGCTCAAGCGTGACACAGGCTTGTACAGGTGGAAATTGTAAGCTTGCATAAGGTATGACTTCAAACGAGTTGAAAACGTTATTTAGTGATGTTCGTCATCTTTTATCTCAAACCTTAACTAGATTACTAGCATCAAGCCAAAAAATCTAATTAAGTACTCAAATGTCGATCTTATCTTGAGTATTCTGTAAATCGACGATATCGTGTTATGAACGTGCGTGTCAGATGTTCCATGAATTTCTAGAACATCCACGATACGTCCTGTTTGGTCTACTCTTTAGTTTCTAGCATGTGCCTATGGTGCCTGGAATTTCTTTCGTATTTAGTTTTTTTGCGGAGTTCTTTCATGTTCCCTTTTCCCTTTACTGCTTGTTTATTTTTAATATAGACCGTTCGAAAGTAAATCCGTTGTAATTTAATTGTGCAGTGAACGAAACTTGACGTCGAGTTCTAAATAAACAAATTCCAGATAAGAAAGGTCGACAGTCATTCTATTTCACTTTTGCCGCGGTCAAATAACCTGCCTAAGCAGCACTGGGATATTTGTGCCGTGTTCAATATGAACGCGATGCCTGAAAGGACTGCTAGAAAATGGTTTGCGCAATAATGACATTTTGGATCTGGAGGATGCATTACGTTCAGGTCAGCCATCTGAAGTGGATGATAATCGCCTGAAGGCACCTTTGAAGGAAGACGGTCAATAAACAACCAGTGGATTGGGTCAGGGACATGAACTGTACTTACATGACTATTGACAGGTGCCTTCAATCTATGTAATGTACTCATAAATTAGGAACATGAACTAAATAGACATTTCTTATTGCCTGATTCCAAATAGCACGCGGTCCCGATGATAGGTTTGTTCACAAAGTGTCCAAAAGTAATGTCCTCGCATCGATATAAATAAAGCAGAGAAAGGAATGAGTAGGTCCGCGGGAGATACGTCCAGAGATAAACCAGACTTCTATTCTAAGAAAATAATTCTTGCGTAATGTGGCGTTTGGGGCCGGAAGAACCTTATACAGTGGAAAATGCAGGATGGTCAACATGGATCTCTGCATGATTTAATCTGAATTATGGTTGCATCGATTGAACGAAACTACCTAATAGAAACGATCTAAGGGACAAGGTGAATCATCGTTCTCCACGACAAAGGCGAAGCGTATACGGCGACCCCTGCGGGCGAGAGCCACCCTAGGACAGCTTGAGTGGAAGGTCTTTTTGAGCTGACCGTATTTTCCAGACTTCGCGTCTAGAGATTACTATTTCTCTCGATCGTTATAAACTGAAATTACTAGCCTTACATTTAAGAACCTCAAAATCTACAAGTTTCGTTGGCATTAGACCTAAACTTTTCTGATTAGCAGGAATAAATAAATTGGTCGAGAGATGGAAGAAGATGAGGAAAAACTGAAGGAAAATTTCAGTAAAGCGGTGTGCTTTGCTTAGTGAAAAAACGCGTCCTTACTGATGTTGCGGCCTAATATCTAGAAAGAAGGGGTGCTATATTGAGGCAAGGCTTTATGGGCCAATCCGTTTTTTCTAGCTAGAGAACGTTGATCTAAAATTTCAATATTATACTATCAAACTTCTAAAATTTGTTAGATGCGTCCGAGCGGAAAATCGACTGTAGTTTGTGTTATTGATTTTTTGACCGAATTTAAAAGAATGAAGCTATATGGTTCACCAGCTCACACAAGCCCATTGGTGAAGGGTTGGCTGCCTAAGCCCGATGAATTACTATGCATCGTTATTGAGTGTGAGTGTTGTTAAAATTTCGACACGATAGCGTCTGCTGGTTTACCTATGTCATCAAAAGGACATTCGTGAAGTTGCGTAAGGAACATCTGAAATGAGCTCGTAGGCGATTTGTAGCCCAAACTGAAGCTGTAACCGCGGTAAATAGTGTTTAAATTCCGTAAAAATTATCGTCAAGAATGACATTTCTAGCTCAGGTAAAAAAATTTTGTTGGATATATGTTTTTGTTTCCATTAGAAACCCAAATGCGTCACTTGCGCGTCTACTGGGTTTTCCTTTCAGTGTTTACTTTATCGCCTAGTAATCAGGAGGTACTAAGATACTACTACTTCTAAGGAAGTACTAAGGAAGCAAACGAGTAGTGCGTAAAACTGAAGAAAAATTCTATTCTCTCCACGTTATAGTACGGCGGGTCTGACAATATTCTGTCTATAATACAGCTCAAAGGATTGACAGATAGGTTTATCAATAAGCGCACGTTACGCGTATCATTGTCCTTCTTTCGCTATTTTCTTTTGCTATTTTTGGAGACAAAATAAAAAGCCTTTTCCAGAGATTTACCACAGTCGATGTTTTCAGTCTTACTGGTGTTCAAGAACAGGTCATAATATATAGTTTATGATCATTTTCTCGACGAACTCCTGCAAGTAATCTTGATAATTTAAAGTTAAAGTCCTGTTCAAGTTCTACGTTCGCGATTTCTTCTAAAAAAAAACTAATCTATTTCAATATAGTAATTATTGTTCACTGTACTGCTAATTTAATAGAGACACAATAAAATGGCTTCTAGTCAGATTTAGTATCTATTCCATACCTTTACTAACCAATAACAAGTCGAAGTTGTCTGCAGAGTCTGATCGAGGCTGCAAGCAAAGGATTCTAACCCTTATTAAAGGAAGATAACAATACTTTCTTAATGTTAATGTTACGGATATCGAGATCGGCTTAAATTATCTATTTCATTTGTTCTGCTCAGGTAAGGCTTGTAGCTTAATTAGGTGATAAGAACGCATATTTCGGGCCGCAATTCTCATCCCCATCGATTTTGAAGTTTTTGCGCCATTGATAGTCACACGCACAGAATTGCCCGAGCATCCCTCACCTCATGTGTTCTAGCCCACCGGCGGCTTCTGAGACTGTTTCGGATCGATATCATACACAACAGAAAATATGGGTAAGAAAGCGAACTGCACTCATGGCTAAAGCTGAAAAGATCAGACGAAAAGTCTCGAACAGAGGCAACACAACCAGTGACGATCACTCTACGGATTTTTTGGTATGCTCATAATCTAAGTCTAATGCTAAATTTTGTCTAAGCAGCAAAAAACAACGTTGTCTGTAGGAAGCTTGTCTATGCAGTAGCATATATTTTCACAAGGCAACGCGACACATATTTATATATTTTAATGAATTTTATTTACAATTTATGAACATGACGCATGAGATTCTTTAAGTCCGTTTGTTATTTTCACAGTTATGAAGTGACTGTGCAGTTTTCGCCTTGACCAGATATCATAGGAGCTGTTGTGACTGCTATAGCGTCTGTCTGGGTGATCGCGGAGCTAATGAATATCACATCATTGTGGAAAAATGGCCTAAAGTTTACTACGTTAGACTTAATGTGAAGTAGTTGTAAAAAGGTAATTATGTCTGTAACATTTTATACAGTGAACTTCACTATATGAGGGGCTCGTTCAAAAGATATGTAATTATTTTCATTTTGAATGCGAGGCCCTATTGCGAGGCCAATTATAATTTGTGTACATTCTGGGGTTTGTATTACTATGTCAAATTCAAACCCACTACTTGTAAACTCCTGTTGTTTCGTTAACGGTCTTTTTCAGTTATAAGGTACCCCAAGACGATTCACTGCTACATTCATTGCTTCAGACGGCTGACTTCCGGCACGAAACAAAGTGTGCTTATGCCTGGTTTCAAATCTAGACCACCGCGTAAAAATACTGTGGTCTGGATTTCACGGTGGCCGCACCGCTAGTGGGAATTCACTATACCTAGTTTCGACCATTGATCAAAGTATAATTGATGCGTAGCGTCCTTTGACATGGGTATAACGGAATATATGTTAATGATTATCCTGATGAACGGACAAAAACTATTTTCGGTGCAATGATTGGAAAGGATAGTATGACTTGTCTCCTGACCTGCGTTACTTAAGATGGCAGGTAATCACACGTACACAATATATATATAGTAACGCTGCTTATACAAAACGTTTCCAATACCACTCGCTCAAGTAAATACGCTGCCTTAATTGGAAGAAAGTTGAGTATGTGACCACCAAAAGGCATGAGTTGAAATCTCGTAAAGCTAATGAACGCTCGCCACTTGAAAATGACTCTACATATTTTTTCATCCACAAATAAATTAACAAAAAAAAAAAAAAAAAACAACGTTTGTGTACTAGAAGGACGCGATGGAGCAATACTAATTGACGTTAAAAATAGTATACGCATGCAAGCATCTGTTCGCGAACCCTAACAGACAACTGCTTTTTCGCTATATCATCGCTAAGAAGCTTCAGCTGGCCCTGTTCTATCGGGTCGACTGATTATAAGCGCCATTAAACAGTCATCTTATTTACTTTCTCTTTCGTGGCAACTTGTAGCGTGGAAGATATCGTTCCCCAGAACTTGTCTGGGTGTCTGAATGAGTGTCACCGTGCAAAAAGTATATCCTGACACAGATTGTTCAGGGCGGTCGAGAAATCTTGAACCATTCATGGAAGCCATTCGAAGCGTGGATTAGCACTTTATTTTGAAACAGAATAAATCACTACAAACACGGTTTTCGAAGAGGAAGATGTACTTCAATCCAATGGTAATGGTTAGCAAAACAAACTGATAAGAACTCGATTTGAATAATTCTGCTTCGAAGTTTTTGATTGAGTCAGTCTTATCTTATTGGTATCAAGATCACAAAAGCCTTTTTTTTTGTGAGCTTACCAAAAGGGTTGTTACGCCTAAACATTATTATTACAGGCTGGACCTGAAACCGCACGCGTAGTATCAAGGCTGGCAAAATTTCAATGTCAAGACCCCTACACTGTGTGTTGAAAGGGGTTTTACAATTATTATATCGTTAATTTCTTTTGAGTCCGGGAATATTTGTGCTTAGAAAGCCTTAAATGATGATACATGCTGCTGAGCTATTGGAAATCAATGCCATTTTAGAGTAAAGATTAGCCTTAATTTTTTCCATTTAGAGAACTGCAGAACGAAAACAATGAAATCTGCCAAATAGTGATACAGAGGCGTAGCATCCGCTTAAGCTGTTTTTTCTCGGCTTCATTATCCTTTCTTTTCATAGCAAGTCATAAGGAATTCATTTTTTAAAGCCAAAAGCGGGTTTTGCCATAACGTTACTTTTCATATGTTTACAGAACGCAGCGTGCAGTGTGACACAAGTGTTTGCAAGGTCCTTGTAATGCGCAAGCAGCGTGTTAATTTTGTGCACCATTATTTGCCTAGTAAGTCCCTTGAATCGTAATCGGTCTCAGTAATCGCGTTCTTCCTGGGCAGTATTTAGGACGGAGAGCAAGTTGACTATAATTCCCTATCATAACAGGCCCTGAGCGGCCGAACAGCTGCACCGAAAAGGTGCACTTAATCGCTTTGATTGAATACGCTGACCAGTACTGATCTATCATATGCCTTTACGTAATGGTATTTCATTATTTTCTTCGATTATTAATGTCTATGTTTACGAAATACCTTACGGAAGAGCAATGTTCAAAAGGGAGCAATAAAGGAGAATAGTTTTCTGAGCTACATAGGACGATAGTGTAAAGGTTGGTCTCAGTGGCTTCTTCTTATGATGTGACTTTGTCGCTTTCAGTGTTCTACGATGACTATGATTAGCGTGTACCTCATTGCGTTTATTTAGATAACAGGTTCTTGCTAGCACTCGCCATTTATTATCGCTATTACGTATCCACAAACTAGTTAAGCGACCTGGAACTCTTTCCTTGAAATTGAACCACCACTAAACAAATTTCCCAGGGCAAGAATAGTCCAAAAAACTTTAGCCGACTTCTGAGAGAAGAAAAAAGAGAACCCAATTGGACGCACTTATCCAACGCGGCGTCGAAGCTCGAGGGAACAGTCCCACTTGCGACGACCATAATGCGGTGTTACCAGGACATTCTGGCAGGGGACGCAGTTTTTTTGCTTGGGGCCCTACTCATATATTACTGTTACCCGCCAGAACCCTATTAAACTGTTTTACTTTGGTAGCAGTTAGAGGTTAAATGTATTCAAATCTAATCAAATAAGCCATTCTTACTTGTCTAGGCTGTCTTGTAACAGCAAGCTGCCGTTCTCGCACATTTTCTCATACCATCTGCGTAAGTCTGCGCCGGGTACTTGAGGGCAATATGAGGTGGCTCAGCCATTTCTCATTGATTCCTACACGAAAGGTCGTTGAGGAGGCTTTGAATCCATTTCAACGCTGGCTCACTGACGCCGAAATATGGAAAAGTTTGGAATGAGTTACTTGTTCAAGCGCTGACTCAAAGTCATGTCAAAACACGAAGACATATTGATAAACGTCGCTCATATGAGCTGTTTCCAGCAGTTACAGATCGGTTGGTCGAGGACCAATCTTTGGCCATCAGCGTTTTTGTATATTACTGAACAAACGATGCCTTCTAGCGGTGTGCAGGGTTCTATAGTCAGTGGTACTATACTTTTGCCGATGGGATTAACCTTCCGTTCTTTTCTGCGCACAAAGTTCACTATGGCTGTTTAGTATGTATCATGCGTTTGAGCGCTTTCAATAGAACGCTTACAAATTTAAGAGCGAGCTTTTTAAATAGATATGACGTAAGTGTGCCCGGAGTCTTATTAGTTATCAGCTACAATTTTTAATTTTCTGCAGTTGACCTTATAGAACTCAGTACATCTGGTATGATTATTCTTTTATAAACAGAATTTTGAACCGCTTCTGGGCTACTACTTCGTAAAGTGCCGTGTTCTCTGATCCCTTGTTATTTTCTGTTTTTTTTTTTCTACAGTCTTCGTTCAGTAGTTCATTTGTTGATGACATTCTCCTTCTAGACATAAGTGTAGCTAGTGCGCATATGATACAACAAACATACATAACATTAATAGTAATCATAAACTCTATTTGTTGCTCGAGCCTTAGAATTCCTAAAAAATTTTTCTAACACGAACCTACTAACTACAGACGACCACCAGCTAAATTTTCCTGAGTTCTATAAGGCATGGCTTGCACTCTATAGACTACCGATGTAACTACGAGTAGTCATCACGTGCAAAATCATCGTACCAGCAGACCATATTTCCTCGATCAAGATTTACGTGGATAATTTCTAGGAACCTTAGGATGCGAACTATTTGACACCGAGATCAGTCAATCGAGTCAACTCTTAAAGCTAATGCGGAAAATAGTGATAGCCAGCCAAGTGATTCATAGGTAAATTTGTCTATTTTTATCAGCTCTCTTCTCATTGGCAGAGATGTAGCAGGACAATAAGGCATAGTGTTTAGGTAGTAACAGTAGGAAAAACTGGCGGCCGGTGACTGTTCTGACCAAAATACAGTGAAAGGCAAATGGAATCCTCATCTCATCGAATCGATTTTGATCATTGTTTATCTTTTCCAAGGGCAATAACGACAGCGGAGTTAAAAGTTTGCCCCTTCTTGTTCACTTTGCGCACTCAACTCTGCTAGCCCAGCTCAACGATCAGCCAGAATATTAACGACTAATAAATGTTATTGCCCAATCTGTTGCTCACTAACTGGCTCTACTTCCATTCCCATTGTTCGTCGTTGCTCTATCTGGGGCCGATCATATGTGCCAAAATAATGCTTTTTTTTATGGGCTTATCTGTTGCTGTGCAATGAAAGCTAAGGCCAAGATTACGCAGATAACTAGAAGATCATGGATACAACCAGGTCAATAGTTAAAACTCATAGTCAAATCAATGTACCGCTATTACTATTAATTAATTGTCAGGTCCAAAACTAGCTTCTAACATAATAACGTGACATACGAATTCTCTGGCTTTTTTCAAATCGAACCTTATGGTAATATAATGCTGAACCTACTGCAGCATTCAATATAGCAGGTTTCGAAGCAACTGTGGCCAGATGCAGATTCAGCCAAAAGCTACTGTCATATATTGTTGAACTTGTAGGTTCCTGGAATGATGCCCTTAGCTTTTCTCAATCTTCTTGCCGTTATCTTCCCCGTTTTATACTGGTGTAAAGTATTTTCTTAATAATAAATAAATAAATAGATAAAAGTAATAATCTCTCGACTTTGCTAATATTATACTGCTATAACTCTTGGCTATTGTGGTCGACACGAGCACGGGCTCTGGTTTGTCTAGTCACTAAATCACATGACGTATGTGCTGCAGGACGGAGGTAAGCCTAAATGGAAAAGCTGAAAAATCTGAGGTAGGAGGACGTGGGCCTGTTAAGTTACTCATATAAGAAGATATTTACAAACAACGATTATTCATGACATTTCATTTACATAATTAACTAAATGTCCATAAGTAGCTCTGTTTGCTGACACTGTTTGTTGATACGTACAAAAAATTAACGCAGCATCTTCTATTTTAACCAGTAGTTCGTTTCCAAACAAAGCCAAAACTTATAGCTATTGCAAGCACTTTAAAGTTAGTCGACCAACATTTGAACGAAACATGAGGTAAATATCAATTTAGAGATAATATAACTTTTATATTAGTCTCCAAATGAGTTCTTGAAATTTTAGCTATAAAATTTTGCTTAACTTTTTAATTTCTAACTGGCCCTATCGCGTAACAAGATGGGCAAAACATACTTAAAAATGTTGACGATTTAGAAACAGTATGGTGTTGACCCGTGTACCCAAAAATTCAGGGCAAAGCGGCACAAACTAATAAATTATTTTTAGATATTCCGCAGACGTCGTCGCGAGAAAACTTGCGCTAATTTTTAAGGAACGACCAATAATAAACGTCAGTGCTAACTTGAAAACTACAAAGCTGACTACAATATACAAGTCCATGTTGGTTTAATTAGTACGACCCTTGCCCGTACATAGAAGCTAGAAATAACAGAACCATCAAGATATATAGATTGAGCCCGTTCCCCATCAGGTTAAATTCTACTGGCGAGTAAACAGCATAACACTAAAATTTAGATAACATCTAGCCGATGTCCTTCCGTTAGTGATGTATGGTATGTCTCCATTGGTTTTACTAAAGGTAACGAAAGAATGTGAAATTGACCCCAGCTGCGAAGCTTCCAATAGCATGTGTAAATTTTCTGTTCCGCGAATGGGGTTTAGATTTTCTAGGAAGTAAACAGTAATAAGGTACACCTACTCTCGGAAAGTCAGAACATGGTCGTAGCAATACTGAGTTAGATGTCGTATTGTGAAGTACCCACAGGTTTATGTATAGCTAGATTTTACCCGAAGCCTTCGCCTGCGCTCGCTAGTTTTATATGATTATAAAAATCAGTCTCCTGCACATAGCTGCTTACCTCTATCGGCCTTATCTCGCACTTACTGGTTCCTTTCGTAGATGTCCTGTCAGTATATCGGAGTGTACTGTACCTCTACGCTGCTGATGCCTACCTAGCCCATCATATCGAGGACGCGGCTTAGAAAAACCCGTTCCTGCTCAACTTAGACCTTGTGTGCAGCGCAACTTTCATCCGCCCTCTTTGTTTCTGACTGCCGCTTACATCACTTACCAACGATTGCTCATGCCAAGGTTTGTTAG